TATATGTGTGTGTGTGTGTTTGTGTGTGTGTCTGTGTGTGTGTCTGTGTGTTTGTGTGTGTGTTGTGTGTGTGTGTGTGTGTATGTGTGTTTGTGTGTATATATATATATATCATTGAATGATATATTGTTGTTTTTCAATCGAAGTTTGCCGATGTGTGTACATAATCATTGCAATTTTACTTAACAATGTATATTATATATTGTTATTTGCCAACTTTTGTTTGTTCGTGTGTATACATAAGGGCATCTAAATGAACCGATAGACAAATGCGCGGTGAGTAGCAATGCCCACGATTGGTTTGATTTCCAATTGCAACTCATCGTCCAAATACTCTCTTACACAATCATATGTTTTTTATTTTCACTATTTACACACCTGAGATATACTGTTTCTCGGTATAAAGTCATGCATTTCTTACAATGTCTGTATTACCTCGTGGACAGCATCGAAGGCATCATCTTGCAACTTCTTATCGCCAAACTGCAGAGCGAATGTGGATTGATCCTCCACAAGGCCGGTCGTCTGGTGCTGCTTGGATGCCAAAAACGTACCAGAGGCCACATTCGCATTACCTCGCTTGAATAAGGCGTTTATGTACCTGAGAGCACCTTCGTCAACGGGGTGTGAATAGCCAAATAGTCTCAACAGTGGCAGGAACACGTTCTGGGCCACAACCTTCAGAGTTGGATGTAAACTGCCGAGATTAGTGCCGGAAGTCATACCTGGACTGGCTGTCACAATGTGAAGCTCAGGGTGCTTTCTCGCAAGTGAAGATATATACAACGCAGCGATTGCCTTAGTATATGCATAGGCGGCGTTGGCGTCTTTCTCCAGTGGGCTTTCTCCTGTGAGGTGACTGTATACGTCTGCTTTGTATGGTTCCTTGAATTCGGTCCCCATTACGCTATAAACCCCACGCGCTGCTTCACTGCCTGAGTATACAACAACTAGGTTCTGACCGTTGGCAATCAATTCTTCAACAAATACAGCGTGTCCAATTGTATTCGCCAGGTGCATCACCGGAACGCCAGTGCTACCCCTTCCCCTTACGGCACCTCCGGCATTCAGCACCACACCGTTCACTTTCTCTGACGCTAACTTCTGCGCGGCGGCCTTACAAGATTCGACATCTGAAGTATCCAGGATCAGCACATCAAAAAAGTCTGAAGTCTTCTTTGTTATACCTACCAGCAGTGCGATGGCGTCTTTTGCCTTAGTCTCGCTTCTGCATGCTAGTATTACCTTCTTTACCTCGGGCTCCTCGGCAAGCTGTCGACAAGTTTCGAGGCCCAACCCCACATTGGCACCAGTCACGACTACAGTGTTCATTTTAACTTTTTTAGTCTATGGACGGTTGTCGGTATGTATGTATGTAATGATATTCACTGTTGTAAACATTCTATATTATTGTTCATTTATTCGTCTTTTATATCTAAATAAAAGTAGCTTATTTTGCAACTATTTTGTTCTGATATCTATAGTTCTATACTATGTAGTGTTTGATGACTGTTTTTGATTGTGTGACTGTGGTTTTGTGTGTGGCAGCATTTGTTTTTTTATAAACTACAATTCGAAAAGAAAGAGCACTCTATAAAAAAAATACATACAACAACTACTACAGGCTTGAAGTTGCTGGTTTCCAAAGTTGCAGCTTATTTACAAGAAGCGGGAACTTGGGGGGTTTTTTTAAACATAATACTTGTTATGAAAGTCAGGAACTGACACAGATTCCAAGTTTCCAACGGTGACATGATGGAGGGTTTTTTTCTTAATAAATTGCACAGAAATTTCTGAGAAAAAAACTTTTAAAATGAATGAGACATCGCTACTCTTTGGTTTTGGTTTAGGACTTCTCGTGGACCCTTTTAGTCTCATATATATATATAATATTTTAGAGTACATATGTTTGTATTGTAACTAATTATGTTATATACCCATTATTATTTTTTAAAAACAAACGCCTATGTTTATTTATAACTGTTGTTTTTTCTTCAAATTCGAGAGTCGAGACTCGAGACTCACGACTCTGAAGTCTGAACTCTGGACTCTGGAGTGTCTGTCTGTCTGAACTTAGAACTATGTAATGATCTTTTTGTTTTGAATAAATTATAGTCTCCTAAATTGAAAAACACACACAGATTGTGACATGTGTAAATAGTAATGGAAATAAACTCTATCCTTTTTGTTGTTGTTTTTCTATTTGAATCAACCGAAACCACTATAGAATGCATCGTAATTCGAAACACAAGAGGCAAAGCAACCCCCTGGCCCCTGCCCTCAGGCTCTTCTATCGCTAACCTCATAAAGTAGTGGGGTCACAGTCTATTGTATAAACGCTTTAAAAAACCTTTAACTTTTTTTTTGAAATATAAAGGTTTTGAAAATATGCTTATATTTGGGACAAGTAAAATACGTTTTTACGTATATTTATTTTTCAAATCTGCGCTTGAAAATCTTTATTAATATATATTATTATTTTTAAATAACCAGTCTTTTCTTTTGTAAATTTTGCAATATGTTAAATTATTTTTAAAAAGATGTACATTACAGTATCGGTTTAAATAACCGTTGTAAAAATAAAATAAATTGGAGGTGCTAGCGGGCATTTGTACTTTGATCGCACTGGCCTGTTTTAACACTCTATGTGTCAATGTGGAGGCTGAAGGCCTGAAGCCCTCGTTTTTCTACCGTCGAGTAAACTAAATACATTATTTTTTTTAAAGCACAGTTTATAAATAATTAAAAACATCATATCATAGAGCCTTATTATTAGAGGTCTTCTTTTTTTTCCTTTTTTGTTAGAAAATATATAATCCATAAAAAACTTAAAAAGGTATAGGGCCTTGATCTGTGTGAATAGTGATTGTCTATAAGGTCATACCAACCCTTTGATACGACCGCACCGTGTTTGTACCAAATTTTCACACCATCACACACCATTGCATGCAGTGCGTGAACGCAATCCCAGTCGATTGCATGACTGAAATCCCCGGTAAATTGACTGTAGAATAAATAATTGTAGAAACATCGCTTTTTCTCAGTATGATTTATATTAGCTAAGTAATCTGTTTGCACAAATTCTTCACACCATCACACACTGTCTGCAAGTCTGGTAACCCGTCGCTCTGTCAGCCGTCAGACGATTACCCATGACTCACGCTGCCACACACATGTGTGGCACAAAACCCACACACTCAATAACCGATAACGGACACACCACAGTAGCAAATTTGGCTTTTTAAATAGCCCCATAGTGGCATGGACTCACACTATGTGAGCTTTCTGTACTTCTGTGGGTAAGCTAACCAGCTGACCGCCGAGTTTACTGTTTCAAGTTTTATCAAAATAGCGACTCTCTGTACACTCTCGTCCGTCTGGTTATAACATCAGATAACAAAGAAGGATACGTTGACGGGACACAGGGTAACAGATCATCATATGTATGTATGAGGATTCCACTGTAGGAAAGAAAGTGTGCTGTCAAACCGAACTTAATAGTTATCCCAGTGCGTCTCCTTTTTGGTAAAATTGAGTGCACTGGTTTTGCATATATACTGATCAGGTTAGCACTGCAACAAAAAAAAAATGCAGGCGGCTGTATCCGAACTTGCAGTTTTCCGTATATATATATATATATATATATATATATATATATTATATAT